AGATTGGCAGAGACTCTGTTGGGGGGTGGGGGTTGGTTCAACTTCCTCTGCAGCATGGGTCACTTGCAGGTTTAGTGTAAAAATGGTGGATTCTCTGTAATAGGATGTCTTTAAATCATGATTTGAGGACTTCAGTAACTCAGCCAGAGGTTAGGGGTCTGTTATAGGAGTGGGTGGGTGAGGCTCTGGGGCCTGCGATGTAGATAATGATGGTCCCTGCCAGTCTTAATGTCTATGTCTTGTAAAAAGTGTTCACCCACAGGTGACAGCATTTGTCTTATTTTTTCCTCTGAATTCATTCAAGAATGTAGTGATTGTCTCCTTTCAGCCACATAGCTGAAAGTTATTGGGGCATTTAGTGTGCTGGAGAAGATACAGTAGAGCCTCAGAGTTACGAACACCAGAGGTATGAACTGACCATACACCTCATTTGGAACTGGAGGTATGCAAGCAGGCAGCAGCAGAGACCACCCCCCACCCCCAAACCAAACACGGTACACTACTGTGTTAAATGTGAGCTACTAAAAAAATAAGGGGAAAGATTTTTTTGTTTGTTTTTTAAAAAAAGGTTTGACAAGGTAAGGAAACTGTGCTTGTTTCATTTAAATTAAGATCAGAAGTGGAGGTTCAGGAAAGATTTCTTTCAGGATGTGGTCCCCATGGAGGATGGGTTGTAGTTTGATGATCCTTTGCATCAGTTCCACTGTGAGATGTAGGTGACAACTTAGGGGCTGGTGGTCAGAGGGGGGTTTATTTCTGTATTGAAGCAGGTTCTCTCAGGGTACTTGTAGGTTGCCTCATGGAACAGGCCACCCTTCTCTGGGGGACTGTCCTTGTTTGGTGAAGGTTGTTCTAAGAGTGTCAAGCTGTATAGCCCAGACTACATATATTACCATTTATTATTTGTATTACAGTAATAGCCAGGGGCTGCTCTTAGAGATCAAGTGTAGCAGATGCAGTACAAACAGAGTAAAATTACAAGCCCTGCTTCAAAGAGCTTATAGTTAAAGGCCCAGATCCTGCAATAAGCGGTTTCTGGGCAGACCCCTGCATCCAGGCACATCCTCAGTGAAGTCAATGGGGATCTGTGCACCCACAGGAGACTGACCACTCAGAGCTTATTGCAGGATCAGGCTCTGAGTCATAAGGGGAATTAGGTACCCAACTCCTGTTGACTCCAGGACTGCCTAACAGTTGACAAACAGACAGGGATGGGAGGAGGCAGGGATACCAACATATTTTTATGCCGACTACAAAATACAGCTCCCCTTATTTTCCATTACTACAGTTACCTTCTATGACATCAAAATGAACTTTTCTCTCTTCTACGAAACTCAGAGAACTCCTGATTATTATGATGCAAACAACCTTGCTAAAAACTGGGTAAGTAGATCCCCCCCCAACCCATTAAATTGTGGATAAGTATCAGGGGATAAGGGCATCTGAAAGAACAATATGAACTCCCAGGGCAAAGCGCAGAGAACTGTAAACGCTGTTAATAAAAACAACAACATTATAGAGTTTCATAATCATGTTATCTGACAGATTTTTCATGAAGAGACACAGTGGGAGAGGTAATATCTTTAATTGGACCAACTTCTGTTGGTGAGAGGGACAAGCTTTTGAGCTATATAGAGCTCTTCTTCAGGTCTGGGAAAGGTACTCCTAGCATCACTCCTAAATGGAAGGTAGAGCAGATTGTTTAGCATAAGTAAATATTGTAAGATACCATTCAAGGTAGAGGAGTCTGTCAACACTTCTGCAGTCATAGGACTGAAAGAGGGGGTTAGTGGGTCACAGATTATTGTAATAAGACATAAACCCAATGTTTCTGTTCAGTCCATGATTTGTTGTGGCTGGCAAAGTTATGAATTTAAGCTCCCAGGCTCATCTTTTGAAAGGGTTGTGCAGGTTTCCTTTGAGGAGGAGGACTGACTGATCAAGCTATATCAGACTTCTCTGTGAGGAGTGTTCAGAGGTTAGAATTAGAGTTGGTCAAAAAACAGGATGAATGTTAACATGGGTAAAAAATTTTGCAACTATTTTTCAAAAACATTGAAACTATGAATTTACAAAAAGAAGAACAGGAGTACTTGTGGCACTTTAGAGACTAACAAATTTATTAGAGCATAAGCTTTCGTGGACTACAGCCCACTTCTTCAGATGCACCTCTAGTTAAAATATTGACCCGAGTTAATGAGAAACTTGTTTCTTTTACAGTTTAATGCCAGATTTCCTGAAGGTGAATGTGTTGTGACAAATTATTATGTAACTGCAGGCAAGTAAGTACTTGACTATAGTGTTTATTTACTCCACAACCTAACCTCAACTTTGGGAGAGTTTGTAATCAGGATCCTGACTGACATTTCACAAATGACCTCTCTGTATAATGGGACAAACCAAAACCCCAGATCCAACCGTGACCTTTAGGAGTCTCCAAACTTTGTATTTTGACCCACTTCACCGGTGTCCTGCACAAGGCAGGCAGAACATTTTGAGCCAAATTGTGAACTCATTTGCATCCATGCAACTGGAGTCAGAGGAACAAGTTCTGGTTTAAGATGGTGAAAGTGTTCATTGCATCGGGGCTTTGTATGGATATAGGTGAGGTTGGTCAGGATCTTGACCTATGAACATTCAGAACCAGAGTGAGAGATCACCGATCACCATAGGCCAAATCTAGTGTGTCTACCTAGGTACTTATAGGGCTCATCACCGCAGTATTTGAGCCCCAGACCCTGAAAGATATATAGGCCTAACTCCCATTGAAATAAATGGAAGTTAGGCACCAAATACCTTTGAGGATCTAGGTCTGAGTGCCTAAAGTCTGCTGCAGGATTTACAGGCACAAAACTATTAAAAAATAACAGTAGTTCTGCACCAAACTCCCACACTGCTCTTTAGAGCCAAACCCATGTATGTTCATATTTAATCTGTAGGCAGGTGAGAGAAGTGGGGCTGTTTAGCATTTGCTAGATTGATGGAAATGTCACTTGTACAGACTTTGAGATATAGTTTTACCATTACGCACATTTTGACTTTCTGCTTTCTTCTCCCACATCATCACTTGAATGATGGAGGTTGTGGATGGCAACAACAAAACAAAACATTGCACTGTTTACATGAAGCATGTCAGATTCTGAAAATCTTAAGGGGAAAAATAGAGACTGTGAAATAAAGACAGGGAAAGGGGGATTAAAAATGACAACTACTGGATCTGCAGTAAGCATATGCAAGATGCATTAGTTACATGGCTCTTAGGAATTAAGGGGTTAACATTTTTTAAGGTGGGAGTGAAGGGCTTCTAGACTATAGGATGAGAAACAGGGTACTGGCAGCTTAGACTATACCATTAGTAGTCTTTCCTCCTGAGCTAATTAGCCCTAAAAAGCAAGACACTGACAGGAAAAACATGGCTAGAATGAACAACTGTACAGGCATTTAAAACTGGTTTGGGACTTGGGAGGACACTGTTGTAAGGAACTGGCTCAAGTGTGCAACTGCTGAATCCTGCCATGGGCCCTATGCTATTAATAGGTTCTTAACAACTCCAGTTGTAAGAGCAGGACCACGTCAAGTCTATTGCTGATGTAACCCTGAAGTCTGAGAGGCCATTGGGAGCAGTGCAGTGACATTAGTGATTGTTCATGACTGACCACAGATTTGTTACAGTATGAAATATTACTAAAGGTAGAATGGGGCTGATTCTGTGCCAAGGAAGTCAATGGTGAAGTTCCCACAGACTTCAGTAGCCCAAGGTCAGGCTCATTATCAGCTATGGGACAATTTCTTTAGGATACACACACAATTATTCTGCTCTTTTTTAGATACAGGAATAATTCTCCAGGAGGAAGTGTCCAGAGGAGAGCTGATGTATGTATTATAAGATACAAACTCTACCTACGTTGAGTTCTTCCCATAGGATAATCAAGAAATCATTTTTCCTCTTACCTTTTGTTTATACCATATTGTAGTTGCATTCTGAAAGGCAGAAACAGACACTGTACATTAAAATGTAGTGTGACTACTCTGTCTAGGGATGGTAGAACCTCTAAAGATCAGCTCCAACCACTTTGCTCAGCCAACTAGTCTGACAGTTCATAGAGTAAGATTGATTTCTCACCCCAAATTCACTCAGAAATGAATTTCAAAACACCTGCTAGCCTCCTGGGGAAAGCCCTGCAGACTGCAGTGTGATTTTACATTCCTGGTATCCCTGCCTGATTTTCATATCAAGGCCAGGGGTTCAAGTGCCCATGGAGGGAGTTAGAAGTGAGACAAGCAAGCTGAGGTTGGAACTGGTTAGTGATATTTGACTCTAAACACAGCATGTGGTTGCACCTCACACATTGTTATTCTATTGTTAGTAACCATGACAACAACAGTATTTTGCCCCACCAGAGGCCTAGGCTGGTACAGCCTTACCCTCCTGCAATCTGGTTCAACATACTGTTTTTCTGCTGCATTGATAGGACTCCTACCTACGCTTGTGTTCAGTCCCTCCACCTATCTTTGCAGTAAGATATCCCAGAGTGCATTGGCCCATGAGTTGTGCTGCTATCCAGCATGTCTTCCCTCTGCTGAAGTCCTATCGGATAGCTGCTCAGATTTTCCCGGAATACACTGGTGCCAACAGGAGAAGGCAGAGTGGGAGGGCTGGACCTGAGGATATGGCTGTGGTGGTGTGTGCACACAAACAAAACCATGTGACTTATGACCAGGACTCTAAACAGTAACAGTTCTAGCTGGAGCAGGCATGGAACTTTATCCACAGTGTGTTGTTTTTCAAAAGCCCTATTTCCGCCTCTCTCTTTCTGGCTGATTGCAAGGTGCCAATCCTACTCTGTCTTGGATCCATAACTGAGACAGTCTTGTGTCCCTGTTTGCATCCTCACATTAGCAGCAACTAGCCAGCATACCTTGTTTTTATAGTCATCTTAATATAATGCACCATTAAAACTACTGCAAAATGCAAACTTGTACTGGACATGAATAGTCAAACACTGACATTTAAAGCATTGAGCGTGTTAGAGGCTACTGTTCACTTTCACTGAAATCCATTATAATTACATTCAAGCCAGTTGCATTATTCTAACCTTATTCTTGTCTTGTTCTGTATTTTGTGAACTGAAGTTGGAGAAAAAGCAGAATTCACAAAGGTAGGATACATGTTTATGAATTGTGTTGGTAGAATTTAGATTTAAGCACACAATTAAATCAATTCCCTCCTTCACTTTTACACAGTATATTGGTGCTGATTCAAGGATGATCAAGGTACACCTCTACTCCGATATAACGCAACCTGATATAATACAAATTCGGGTATAACGCGGTAAAACAGTGCTCTGGGGGGGCAGGGCTCCGTGCTCCAGCGGATCAAAGCAAGTTCGATATAATGCGGTTTCACCTATAACGCGGTAAGATTTTTTGGCTGCCGAGGACAGTGTTATATCGGGGTAGAGGTGTAGTTACTAATTATAGGGGGTTAAGTTCCTTAAAATTATGATAACTTTTGTAACAAAGAGCTAGGCATTTAAGAACGATGAGGATACTTAGCATACTCTACAGTGGAACCTATACAAGAAACCAGCCTTAAGACACACTCCAAAGAATCCCCTGACATACTGAGAATAGTTCTGCTTCCTGTGTAGAAAACCAAGGAGTGATTGCTCAAGAGAGGTTTCAGTGCTGTACCATGCTTTGGACACTACTGGGCCTGCACAAGAAGAGATTGCAGGCAATACTCTCCCAGCTGAGGCTGCCATAACCAGGTTTGGTCTGAGTGATGCGCTTATTCTCTGCTCAGCGTGTTTGGTGGCAATACTCCCTCATATGATAGGACTATGCCCTCTACTAAGGCGGCCACAGGAGGCTTGTCTCTAACACCTTCGTTACTCTGGCAAAGTTAAGTAGGTATTTCTGGGTAATGCCCACTCCATTTGAAGCACACACTCAAACCAATGGAGGAAGACTTACACAGCTCTTCAACTTTTTGGAAAAAAAACAAAAAAACCTTTAGTTTGTGGGGTTTTGGGGGTCATGGAGGATGGTTACTTTGGTGTTTCGTTTTCTAAAAACATGAGCACTCGTGATGTTACACCCCATCTGTACTTAATTCTGGAAAGCTTAGTTGAGGGCCTGAGGTACCTCACTCAAACCCCCAGCTTCAGAGATTTCTTTAGAGGATCTGGAGGGGAGATGCTCTCAGGAGAGGTTAAGACTTTTTGCTGCCCCTTTAAGATTGGGCAGTGAGCAATACCCTTTGCCAGCCCCTGGGCCCAACCCCGGAGGGAAACAGAGAGGGGCCCTTTGAGGGGGAGAGCACATTAGCAGGAGATTGAAAGGATAGTCTGCAGGGAAAGAGTAGCCGATTCTTGACCTCCTGTGGGACCCCAGACATTGGAAAGGAAGAGGAAAAGCATCTGAGTTACTTCACCCCATGGTTCCTGCTGCAAGGTCGGGGCTGAGTGGGGACTAAGCGAGCCAGAGCCACTGCAGCTAAATGGCTCATTGATAGCAGGTGGTCACAAGAGCTGGCACCCTTCATGGCAGCTGAGGCCTTGCAAGAGCTTGTGAGAGAAGGTTGGTTTGCAGCTTTCTCAACCATCTTAGCATGGACTTTGCCTGTGGGCTGGCTCAGAGTAGGAATTGCTTCTTCCAGGTTGCTATAAGATCCCACCCCTATCTTTCCTGGAGACTCGGGAAGCTCCTGCACAATTTTCCTGCTTGTTCTGCAAGCCATGGAGATAGGGATGGTGGGCACAGTCATTAGGTTGGTCTCAGTGAAGGGTCTACTCAACTGTCTCAGCATAGACCCCACCCACTCACCACCTGGTAGCCGGTTTCAGTATGGGCTGTTTGATTCTCTCAGTAGGGACCTCTTCCCCACACTAACTGGGAACTGGGTCCTGCAGCCACGCTGTCTGCCCTTTCTGAGGGGTGAGGGAAGGAGAGGTGCAGTCCTGCCAACTGTCCTCAGAAAGCCACAAGAATGTTATTTATTTATTTGAGTTTAGCTGTTTTGAGGAGAAAATCCTAGAAGCCAACACTCTAACGGGAGCGATGGAGCCAGCTGCATGTGCTGCTTGGAGGAGAGAATTCTGGGCAGTGCTTCGAGGGTTGGTCCTATGCCCAGCCGCAGAGCTAAGTTCTGGTCTGGCTCTAGGTGCCAGGGAAATGGGGAATGCCCATGGGTGAAGCAGCATACCCTGGCAGCACACATCATATCCACAGTTTACAGTTTTGTTCAATGGCTTTTGGCACCCCCCCCCCTCCATACAAATCATTTCAACGCCACTGGGAATGCCCCATTCTGCAGAATGACACTGTAAAGTGGTATGGATTCTGCTTACAGTTAGACTTTAGAGTAATTACATGGTTAGCTTATTCCATATTCTGAACAATGGCTGAAAAAAGTGCCTGGTTGTGACTTACCAAAGAAGATTCTCATGCCATAAGGAGTACCTCACTCCAGAATCAGGCCCTTGTTTTCAATGGCAAGGTATTACTCAGCATAAAGTAATAGTATCAGTATCTGGTCATTACTGTAGCATTGTAAACACAATAGGCAATGAAAGTATGCAATTCAATATAATGTTGAATGTTAATGATTAGTTACAGGATAGCCTGATGGTACAAATGTATCATTGTTTGTGTGTGTTATATTTGTAGCTATGCCTCCAAAACCATCATAAAAGCCACATCCACTCACTCACAAGAATACTTGATCATCATGATAAAAAAACAGTTGCAGATGAAGTACGAAGAGGGGCCCTTGTCTGTGGAACCTGAAGATGTGATTGTCAGTGCAATTGGTAATATTTTATTTATTAAGTTCTAATATTTGTTGCCAGACTTCAAAAACACATGAATTTCATGAAGGTTGGCCCAAACTCAAAGTTGGTATAGAGTCAGATTCCAAGGGCAGAAGCAACCATTATGATCAAACCTGACCTCATGCATGGAACAGGCCGTAGAATTTTACCTAATGATTCTTGCATCAAGACCAATAACTTACAGCTTAACTAGAGGATTTCTATCAAAGATATCCAGGCTTGAGGTAAAGACTCCAGGGGACTGAAAATGTATCACTCACAGCCCTTAGTAATCTGTTCCAATGGTTACTTACAGAAAATGGGGTATACGTGGCTTCAAGATCACTTAAGTCACCTGCCTACCCTGTGTCTGAATTTGGCCTGTTCTATTTTACTGTGCACTCTACTTCCTGACAAGTGGAGACAGACCTAAACTAGAGTTCTGGGTCTGGACATTTCTGAAATGCAGGAAAAGTGCACATGTGGTATGACTCCAAGCATGGCAGCTCAGGTCTTTTGCTAGAAACAAGTCTCCTGATTGCTGGAGCTAATGCGGATGCAAAAAATCAGGTCCCCAACACCAAACCCAAAACACACCACAGAAGGCAAAGCACTTAGCCTCACTAAGAAAAGGTTCCCCCTCTCCCCCAATTCCATTTTGTGTCTCATGAAAACACACTGTTTAGAAGTGGAAAGAATTGGAGGTTGTCCCTCAACGTGATTCAATACTAAAAATCCCGTGAATTTCATTTGAGTTCTCCATGATTTGCTTAACTCTTGCTGGGCTGTAGCCCACGAAAGCTTATGCTCAAATAAATTTGTTAGTCTCTAAGGTGCCACAAGTACTCCTGTTCTTTTTGCGGATACAGACTAACACCGCTGCTACTCTGAAATCTTGCTATATAGTGACTGAATGACCATATCTAATGTAGTGGGTTTTTTTTTTTTATTTTTAAGAGAGAGGAACAGTGATAGCACAGTTAGAACCAGGATCTGGGAAACAGGATCCCTGACCGTTACTATCTGGGTGACCTTGAGCAAGATACTGATTGTCTGTGATAAAATTTACCGATACCTCTTTGCCGGCTACTACACCTTGTATCTTAAGGAAGCTTATACAAAGAAATGAATTCACTCATTTGCAGCTATAACTGCCCTCTTTATAAAATCGCCTCCTGCATACATGTTGTTCTAGGTCACAGTTTTTATGACGATAGCCAAACTTATCTGTAGATATGTTGCCAAGGTCTTTTGGAAAGTTTAAAGCAGTAAATAATATTTGATCCCCAGAGCCCTGATCCAAAGCCATTGAAGCTAGTGGCAGACACTCTATTGATGTCCGTGGGTAGTGGAACAAGCCCACATTTGTTTCTGATTTGTTTTATTGACTTGGATATACTCCTTGTCAACCTTTAAAAAAAAATACAGAAGTAGGCAAGAGATAAGCAAGAGACATAATGTACTTGTATTTAAAAACACACATTCGACACCATTCATAAACAAGATTAATAAGCAAGAGGAGTTACAGGGAAAGTAGTCCTTGTGGAAAAGGCACTGACTGGGTAATGAGCAGCCGCCCACTTTGGTAAAAGTTTATGGGTCAGGTAAGGGAAAAGTAATAAGCAAAGTAACCCTATCATTGATTCCTGTGGTAACTTCACCCTCCACATGGCAGAGGGCACATTGAAAGGGGAAGAAACAGCACCAGCACTGCTAGTTCTGTCTACTAAATAAAGGATTACAATTTCCAGTGCTGACAACCAATACTGATATGATAAAAGTCTATAAAATCATGACTGATGTGGAGAAAGTAAATACGTTATTTACTCTCTCTCATAACACAAGGACTAGGGGTCACCAAATGAAATTAATAAGCAGCAGGTTTAAAAAACAAACAAAAGGAAGAATTTCTTCACACAATGCACAGTCAACATGTGGAACTCTTTGCCAGAGGATGTTGTGAAGGCAAAGACTAACAGGGTTTAAAAACAAAACAAAAAAACCCGCCTCCCCCCACCCCAAACTAGATAAATTCATGGAGGATAGGTCCATTAATTGCTATTAGACAGGATGGGCACGGATGGTGCCTCTGTTTGCCAGAAGATGGAAACGGGTGACCGAGATCACTTGATTACCTTTTCTGTTCATTCCTTCAGGGGCACCTGGCATTGGCCACTGTCGGAAGACAGGATACTGGGCTAGAGGGACCTTTGGTCTGACCCAGTATGGCCGTTCTTATGTTTTTAACCCAGCACCTGCCCTGAAAAAAAAGTCTCAAGAGAAGCAGAAGGCAAATGAGAATTTAGGCACAACTTTTTCTTATATCAAGACAACAGGAGAGGCAAACATTATAGCTTTGTTCCAGCGAGAGACTATCCAGATTATGAATGGGTCCTAGTTAGGCTGCAGCCAGTGAAGACTCCCTTTTAGCTCATAAAAGCTTTATCATGAATAATTGTACGAGTCTTGTTCCCAGCTCCAGGTACCTGCCCAGAAGAATGGTCAACCTACAAAGGGAAGTATCTTTGGACACAGACTAATCCGGCTAGCAAAACTGAATTAAGATGTGTGAAAAATTCTAAGCAGTCTGCCACCAGGAGTTGGTGAGTGATGAGATCATCTCCACTTTGGCATTGATTTAGCAGATGCTGGCCTGGGGAGTAACAGGGTGAGCAGCAGGGAAACAAGGTTGTGTGTGGTAGGGTGTCCAGCTGGTGAGGTACTTTAGCATACAACAGTGTACCTGCCTAATTGAATGGGATGCACCCCAGGGCTAGAAGAGGCATGAACTTTGGGAAAAGGGCCCATCTACATGTGCTTCCATCTACTGCAAAGTGCAGGCTGGCATCATAGCTAGCATGCTGTTCCAGCATTAAGGAATAGTAGATACTCTGTAGTGTATTCTGCCATCCCCACATATGTCTCTGGTTCTAGACACCTCAAATTGCATTGGAGTTGCAGCTGGTGCCCGCGATTTGAGAACTGGGCACTGGGGGAAAATGTGGCCCTTGAATTAATCTGTTTCCAAAAATAAGTTATTATGTTCGTAGCCGCTGTATTTGCAAGTGCAGTGAACATCACTGAATAAAATCTGTTTCTTTCTATTAAAGTAATGCATACTGCTTTTATTTTTTAGCATGATAAATATTAAGAGTGAGAAAGCTTATTGGGGAAGACCAAATATGAGACAATGTAAATTGCTGGAAGAACTTCCAAATAATATTGTGGGTCTTAAAAACGTTACCATAACAGAAGGTGAGATTCCAAAAAGTTTAATATGATGGGTCAAAGTATAACTGCAACTGATTTAATACTTTTTTTTTTTTAAATGAGCTGTATGTTTTGGGTATCTGAACAACAGGAGCAGTAACAATTATTATTCATGTCATTCACTTGTTCATCTTAAAGTGTTTTTCTTTTTTAAAAAACAGAAATAGTTTTGAGTCCTGCTTTGAACTTCTGTCATTTTGACAACTTAATTTCTATCTCAAATCCACATTTTTATTACTAGAATAAATAATTCACAATGAACTCCATGAATTTTGCTTTTTTATCCTGTATGTGGATTGTCTAGAAACAAACTTCCTGGAATTTGTGGGTAGTTTGGAATTATTCACACACTTTTTCAGTAAAAAATTCTTTGTCTGGAGATCAAACTGAATAGTAAATCTGCATACACAATTTGATATTTGCATTTTGTGCCAGGGTGACTAATTAGGTAAATCGTCTCAACAGAAACAATACCACATGGCTTATGTAACTAACTTATAGAGGCACTGATCTGACAAGCTGTTCCATGTGGAGGGATCCCTGTGCTTGCATAAAGCCCCACTGACTTCTACAGAAACCTACCCATATAGAAAAGCTTACATGGTGAAGGCCAGAATGTGAACTGCAAATAGCAGATTTTCCAACTACAGAATTTGCTTCTGGTGCATGTTCAAACTAAACACTGACTTTGGGGGGAGTATTTGTGCTAGTAGAGCTAGAGGAATCAAATGTTCCCAGCATGCAAACACAAAAGCTTGTTAACGTGGTTGAAATGAAATTAGTTTTGAATTGAAAAAATATTGGATACTTTTTAGCACTATTTGCTGTATTGATTATACTCCATTAATAAAACTGCATTTCTCTCTCCTGGAAATACAACCTGAGATTTGCAGTCTTTGCGCTAAAGGACTCTTGTTGACACCTGATTTATTTTTCTTTTTAAAAGCACTAATTTCACACTAGGCTGGAAGCACTACGTGCATTATTGAGAAAAGAACAAACCTCAGCTCCCTAGGTTCAGAGTCTCCATGGTACAGGCAGACTCATCCTGTACGTCATTCATACAGCGTGAACTCGACCTAGCTTCATATGGGCCTGGAAGGCCTCCAGCCAGGGCCGGCTTTAGGCCAATTCCACCAATCCCCCGAATCGGGCCCCGCGCCTAAGAGGGCCCCGCGCCCAGTGGCAGGGCTGCCGGGGTGGGGGCAAGTGGCCGAGAATCCCTTTCCTGGCTAGAGGCTCCTTTTTAATTTTTACTCACCCGGCAGCGCTCCGGGTCTTCGGCGACACTTCAGCGGCGGGTCCTTCACTCGCTCTGGGTCTTTGGCAGCACTTCAGCAGCAGGTCCTTCAGTGCCACCAAAGACCCGGAGCGAGTGAAGGACAAACCACTGAAGACTACAAGTGCCGCCCGGTGAGTACAAGCCCCAGATGTTTTTTTACGTGTTTTTTCTTTTTTCAGTCATCCTTGCCGGGGCCCCGTCAAAACTGTTCAAATTGGGCCCCACACTTCCTAAAGCCGGCTCTGCCTCCAGCTCAGTAAACCATCACAGCTGGGCACCATATTGCCCTGGGGTGGGGGGGGATGAGGACTAAGCAACTTTGAATGGAGCAGAGGAGGGCTCCAAACCAGCTCCCCATCGATCAGCACAGGGGTGGGGATTGGGAATGTAGCCAGTGGGTTTGTGATTACACACAAAATGGCCACAAACCAATGGTGGTGGCTCCTGTTCTCGTGAGGAAGCCTGTCCTTGTGACTGGAAGAGCAGTTGCGGAGGAGCTGCCTTGTTTCAGGTCCATTGGCTGGGGTGGGGGGGTTCTGTGCCCTTCAGCCACTTGTGTACTTCCCCCATGCACCAATATCTTTTTGTGGGGAGGTAGGTGAGATCTGTGCTACAGTACTTGGCCTGAGTAGCATTTTCTACGGTGGTTAAATGGGGGGGGGGGGGTGAGGGGGAGAAAAGGGAAGAGAGCACAAAATCCCAGGGGATATAGTTTTCCACTGCACAGAGCTAAAAACTCAGGAGAAGTGTGTTTGATCTTTTACCTTAAGCATTAAATGTGTGGCACTGGATTATTTAAAAGAAGAACAGGTTCCATAAGACACTAATGAAAAAGGTGAAAGATGTCAGAAGTGAGTTTTAGCACTGGACTTATCAGGATTTTCCAGTGTTGATTAACACAAGTGCAGTTAGAAAGGATCAAATGCAATAAGAAACAAAGCACTGATGTCTTGAGGTTTATGTGCTGGCTAAAGTATGCCTACAGGTTAGTTTGCAAATGTATCTCAAGTTAGAGCTGCTTGCACTCCAGTAACAATGGACTGAGAATGAAGCTACTTTATTTGCACTAGGATTAGTACATAAACGAACAGTTTCTGGAGCACATCTTGTGATTGCATCTTTTAACTAGAATTGTGAAGTCTGCGTTATGGACCTGGGGCTGGATCAATGCACATGTACACTACCTATAACAGTCTTTTCATTTACGGAATCAGTTTAGCAAGCTGAGCATTTCTTTTAACACTAGATAAGCATTTCAGCTCTATTGCAAAACATTAAGTCACCTCTATGTTCTTTAATCTATTCCAGAAAATGCAGAGGATATTGCAGAGCACCTTTTAAATCTGATGATAAACTTTACAAAATTGGATAAGGTAGAAACTGAGGTTATCGTAAACAAAGTCTCTGCTATTTCAAAGTGTGATGACATAAGCAGGCCACTTGCTGAGACTACATTAAAAATACTGAACTCTATTTTGCTGAAAGAAATGAATACACAGGGCTTGCAAACAGAGACCAATAGGTAAGTAAAGTATCTAGTAAATCACTTGTACAGAAGTTAAAGAAATCACTAAGGAATAATATTGTTAAAAAAGCCATCTTGAGACCTACTGCATCATCCTGCAACTTTCCCACATATAGGATCCATGGTAATGATGCTACAGGTTGCTGAAGTATTCCCCTGGCCAGTGTATTTATGGGAAAGTATGGCTGACAAACTAAGGTCCAGACCCACAAAAATACTTAGATCTCTAAACCCCAGACTTAGGCACTTAAGTCCTGTTGTAGGCACCACTGGGATCTACAACCCCCCTGCCCAGCTACCACTTAACTTACTTAATGCCTAGACATTCACTGTAAGAGTTCTCAAAATGCCTATGTTTCTGCCTCTGGGCATGTGCCCTGCATTCTAGGTGTCCAGACACATCTCCTGCCTAAGCCCCAGTAAGAGCCATAAACTGGGGGAAGACAGATGGAGGTGCATCTCTTTTTCCTGATAGGCCCAATTGAGTAGGTGTGCTCAGAGCCACCTACCATTCAAGATCTGGCCAGAGCAGGCAGTGGTATGGTTGCTGACCAACATATGTCTTTTAGTCCAGTGGTCAGGGCCGGCTCCAGGCACCAGCTAAGGAAGCAGGAGCTTGGGGCGGCCAATACAAAGGGGCGGCACTCCGTCCGCTATTGGGGCGGCATGTCTGGGTCTTCGGCAGGAATTCAGTGGCGGGTCCCTCAGTCCATCTCTTCCTCTTTGAGCTGCCACCGAAGAGCAGAAAACCTGGAGCCGGCCCTACCAGTGGTTGGCACACTTCCCTGGGAGGTGGGACATCCAGGTTCAATTTCCCCCTCTGCCTAAGGGGCTGAAAGGATTTGAACAGGCACTTCTCAGGAGGGTACTCTAACCCCTGCACTGGGGGATACTCAGATGTGGGTCTCCTTCAGTCTCTGCGGTTGAAGCTGTTCCACGGTGTACAAATACTGATTGGGGCAGAAAAAGAGAGACTCTCTCACTTGGGGGAGAGAACCACTCCTGCCATCTCTACTATATTACTGAGACAAAGATTTTCATAAATAAGTGCCTACGGTAGGTTCCTAACTCTGTATGTAGGTTCCTAAATAAGCGGTGGGATTTTCAAGAGTGCTGGGCGGGCAGCAGCTCCCACTGAAGACCACATTGCTCAGTACTTTTGAAAAATCACTTTTCTTAACTGGGAACTGAAATGTGGAGCTGGGGGAACCTAACTTCAGACACTTATTTCGAAAGTGTTTGCTTGCGTCAATTCAGAGAGGGCCCTTTGCCAGGGATGGTAAATGGGCACCAATCAGCAGCACTAGATACAGTTACTTAAAAAGTTCTCTCTCCCCAGCTCTGACTTTGCAGACTGCCAGAGTTTGCAAGTTTCTCAGTTTCAGATGATGTTTTGCTTTCATCAAAGTTTTTGAAAGTTTCCAAGGAAAATGAAGCTTTCAATTTAAAGTCAGTCCATGTGTCGGTCTCTTGGTGGAAGTGTATAAAGTTGCCCAGCTCTTTGCAGTAGGCAAGTGTGTGTTGTCTTTATAAACAGGAAAAAAATATGCCAAAAACAGTTTAAATAATATGCCAGATGACACTGCTCAGTGTCGTTATGATCCTCTCTCACAAGAGAGTCTCTCGCTGCAATGTGGGCGGTATGCCTGCTGCCAGTACAGAACCACCCCCGCTTTTTAAAAATGTGTCTTTTTCTTTTTAATTATAAAAGAAAGAAATCCCGGTGAAAACTTTGTACTGAACTCCTCAGTGAGCTCTTCAGAGCAGGGACGGTCGTCTGTTACGTGTGTTCCCTGGAGCCCTGATCCTGACTGGGGACTCTAGGTGCCACCACACTACCAAGCAGAGATAATAATTTAGAAGTTATTTAGGGGAAGCCCGTCCTTCGCCCCCCCACCCCCATCTGTTATTTCAGATGTATTTGAGTTTTGAAGAACTTAAGAAGTTATAACCTTGTTATTTAAACGAACAACAGAGAGTCCATAACAGGGACACATTGATCCATCTGGCTTTAAGGAGAGGATTATTGCCATGAATCCTCAGAAGCACCTGCTTCTAAGTGATTCCATAAGAATCCGTATTATATTAACAGATACAGATTATAAAGCCAGGTGGGACCATTGTGATAATCTAGTTCGACCTCCTATGTAACAGGCCACAGGAATTAATTCAGGGAAGTCCTATTCAAAGTAGCATTGAGCATTTCTTTTACAAAGACATGTTTAATTTTAAAGTTTCCACTGATGGAGAATTTACCACAACCTCTGGTAAGTCGTTTCAAAGGTTAGTTACCCTAATTGTTTAAAAAATAAATAAAAATAAAGCCTTATATCTAGATAGAATTTGTGTAGCTTCAGCTTCCAGACATTGGATCTCATTATGCCTTTGTCTGCTAGACTGAAGAGCTCATTAAAGTTTTGTTCCCCATGTAGGTACTTCTAGACTGACCAAATCACCCCTTAACCCAGGGATGGCCCTGGATTGAAATCTTGGCTCGAGATATTTTGGTGAAGTTCAAAGGGAACTCCAGGCTTCACAGCTCTGGGCAGTCCATAATCTGAAGGAATCCTATTGTGGACCCTCGTTCACTTGTCTTGACAAAGTACACATCAAGCAGGTTCTCTCCCAATGGCAACTGGGAAATCAGGATCAGCTCAAATAGAAATATTAAGATTTCCATCCACAACCATTGCAGTCTTAGCATACATTTTCCCACTCTACAGATTCCTATTGGTTGACACATCTCTCCCAAGGCGAGGAAGATAAATGGCATGTACTTTGGCCTCAGGTCTCCCAAATGAGAAATTGAGCTGGCTTTATTTTCTTTAATAACCATAAACATTGCCAATACAATGCTGTAATAGGGCAATGCTGTTGATTGTAGGTCTGAGCCTACAATCCTTACTCAGACAAAGCTACCACTGATTTCAATGGGCATTTTGCTTGAATGGAAACTGCAGGTTTTGGTCTTTTCCACTGAATGTTCATGCCTGCCACACAGTCAGCAAGGGGACAGAGAGTTTAGTCTATATTTCTGATAATCAGAAATGTCATGGTAATAGAAAATTTCAAGATGTCTCTTTCTTGTTGTTTTACTTTATAAAGAATCTTAAGGACAACTGAAGAGATCGGTTTCAAGATGCCTTATACTGGGAGAAATGAATCAATCGTGTTGGCTGTATTGGCTTTGGCCGTGATACGTCCAGATCCCCGTGGTTTCCAAGGAACAGCCTTTGGTGTTACCTCCTACAAGGAAGGCATTGATCCCACGGTGAGATGAAAGCTTTAGCTTATGGATTTTGGATGATGGAGTGAAGAGACATGAGCAAACCTACCTGCAATCAGACACCAATCCTCAACTAGTGTAATTTGGCTTAATTATTGAAGTCAACACATATGGAGGATCTAGTCCATATTTCTGTGAATTGATCAAAGAAAGTACTGGTTTAGAGTTCCTGCCACAATCCCATTCTCTCCACCATCCCCCCAAAACCTCTTTTCCTTAATGTGATGTAGTGACTAGAGAAATAGTTACGTTTTACCTAGAGATGGGACTACACCTGAATATCAAATCGGATCCCTTTCCAGTTCAAATTCAAAGTCTGCCCTTTGGCTTTGGTCCTAGGATGGATTCCATACTGGGAGAGTTCTGTTTAATGGTTCCAGTTGAGATAGGTCAGAAATACTACAAGAACAACATTTCCACGGTTCAAAGTTCTAGGAATCTTATTTAATCAGTTGATAATGACATTTTTGCCCTTTAGAGACACAAAAAAACCTACCACAAAAACACCTTTCAAGATTTCAAAGGTCAAATCCAATCACAAAACCAGCCCTGGCTCTACATGAAGCCTAAACTACAACCTAAACTTGAATCCAGATTCACATCCAAACACCTCCCATTGTCCCGCCTATATTTTTAACTAATTCTTAAAAGAATTTTTCTTCCTTTGGATTTTGTTTCCAGTCCATGAAAGTGATGGGCAAATTGGCCTGGGGGAAAAATAATAAACAATGCCTAGATCTGATACTGCATAGCACTTTTCATCTTTAGATCTCAAGCACTAACGGCCCCACCCTAAAACCTTGTGTACATCAGACTCTTCACTCTTTGTAGAATCATACTCAGAAAATTTGAGGTTCTGAAGTGCCTGGAGAATTTACTTCCCTTGCAGTTAGAGACAGAATCAGAAATTGTGTTAGAAAAGCAGAGCAAAGAGGATAGTTCAGATAAGCCTTATATGTACTCAAACTCTAAACCCTTTGAGATCTATCGTTAACTGTCCTGTAGGGAAATATGTGACAAGGTAAAGGTGTGACAGGCTGTAAAGAATTAAGAGGCTCCCAGCTAGTCACATAGCTGTTTGGGGCAGAGTATAAGAGGAAGGGGAACCAAGGAGAAACGTGTATACTCTCCATGGCTGGCTGGAGCAGGGAAACACTTCTGATGATTAATGCTGAATGATTTTCAATTAGCTTGCTTTTGTTTTGTGGATAATAAAACAAGTCCCAATGAAGAGGTCTTATCGGGACTAATGCTTGGAGTTCCTCCCTGGCTGATGAAACCATCCATCATTTTACAGGGTGACAGAGACTGGTCTTGATGCACATGTTCCTGCATAGCACTGGTGACCTATTTTGCCTGGAACTGCTGCATTTGTGCTCCCCGCTCCTGCATAGTTAAGAGTATATGGCTGTAGAAGTGTTCACTCACCACAGGCATGCCTCCTCTTGGCACAGCAGAAACTCCATCTTTAGCACCTGTGGTGTTCCACCTCTTCTCACACTCAGTCAGGTCATGTTTTCATTCCACCCCTTTCAGGGTAACAGAAAGTAAGTCCAACAAATAATTCCAGGACCTTGTGTCAAGTGGATCCATTGGTCCTTACAACCCTCCCTCTGGACTCTGAATTATCCTTATCCTCCTTCCATTGAGAGGAATCACACCACCTTCCCAGTAGCTGGCAGGGGAACAGAGGCCCAGCCTCTACAGCGGGTTCCAGTCCAGAGACCTTGGACAAATAACCAAAGTCTGTTTCATCAGACTTCCTGCTGTTGCCTCTCTGGACTCCTTCCCACCAATAGTCTTTCCTCAGACCTTTCCCCCAGCCTCTCCCTAGGCTCTTTGTAACAAGCAACACCTTCCAAGGTTGCTCCCAAGAGGTCTAGTCCCTGCCCTTGTGTAAGGGTCAACCCCGGAAGCTTGACCCACTCCCACATCTTCCAGGAAATGCCATTTTCTGGTACCCATGGAATAACTACAGTGCTCTTCTCTATTGCCCCTCATATTTCAGTCCAAACACCCTTTGGCATCACCGCTTTCAGGAAAATTTATGTTTGGCCAAAGGTTTCACTACCCCCAGCCTCCCTTCTAGCTTTGGACCCTCCAGTTCTGGCTTTAGCCCACAAGAGGAAACACCCAGCTACCTGTCACCTGGGTCTCCAACTTGCCCTTCCCCTATTATCCTATGCTCCTGCCTTTATCAAGACCCAGCTGGGTGTGATCAGATAGGCCTATCACCCCTCCAGGTGCCAGCCAGCAGCCTAATTGGGCTGAGGCTTCTGTTAATCCAGGATAACCAGTGGGAGGTTTGAATACCCCTTCATGATGGCCCTGTGTTTGTAAAACATTCTCATTCTATGTCTGTTATTGACCCAATCCCACTATTGGGTGGGATACAGAAAGGAAACAGCTCTTCACCTTTATCTTTGATTGCAGGGACACATTTTTTTCCAGACTGAATAAAATGCTCACAAAGAAAACAAATTGAAAGGAAAATTCTCCCCACCCCAAAAAAACTACTAACCAAAAAAACAAACAAACAAACCCCCCACAAGCCAGTGCGTAGGGATATTACCGTGTATTAGGCCGGGGGCAGACATATCTCTGAGCATTTTCTCTCTTTCATACAGATTGATATACGTGAAGAACCTTTTAAAAAGGCCTGTGCTGCTGTGTTTTTGCCAAGATCGCTGAGGAACTACTTGGGGAGCCAATCTTTAGATCCAGAACATCATTCAAAGATTCAGTTTAATTTTTTTGGAATAACTTCATTCTTTGTGGTAAATATTGTCATTAGCCAACACTAGCCTAATAGCATTTAGATAAACTGCTCCTCCTAAACTGTGCAGGGAAAGGATCCTGGCAGGGTTATCTATTAGCTAGAACAGGGGTTAGCAACGTTTGGCACGCGGCTCGCCAGGGTAAGCACTCTGGCGGGCCGGGCCAGTTTATTTACCTGCTGACGCGGCAGGTTTGGCCGATCGCGGCACCCACTCACCGCGGTTTGCCATCCCGGGCCAATGGGGGCGGCAAGAAGTGGCGTGGGCGAGTGATGTGCTGGCCGTGGCTTCTCGCCGCCCCCACTGGCCCGGGACGACGAACTGCGGCGAGTGGGGGCTGCGATCGGCCGAACCTGCCGCGTCAGCAGGTAAATAAACTGGCCCGGCCTGCCAGGGTGCTTACCCTGGCGAGCCGCGTGCCAAACGTTGCCAACCCCTGAGCTAGAGGAAGCTGCATTGCTGGGCACAATTAAAACTAGAGTGGACCATACACTAATAAATGTGGGGTAAGGTGCAACCTTGCATCTGTGGGGAGCATACTGGAGGGCCTAACTGGTCTTCTGTGTTTCTAGGCTTCTCTGATCATTGTCTACAGAGATTTGAATAATTTTCATCTTGCCTATTTGGCGTTATCCCAACTCTTTTATTTCACAAAATAATCAGAACACAACCTAATCTCTCTTCTTCAGTATAATTTACTGTTTCTTACGGAACATGCATAATACCTGTCAAATTATCATTAAAAATAATAGCAACAATGCTATGCAGTCTTGCAGACTGTTCTGTTGCTTTTTGGAATTTTGTTGCAGTCCAGATACTATAAAGATGGGCACACTAGAAAAGCCTTGATAGATAGTATTTTATTTATATTATGGTAGCACTCAGTGTACAAAGTATTGCCTCTGCACATACAAGGCGGCATGGTCTCTGCCTTGAAGGGCTCACAATGTGTTGGGCTTCATGCCTAACATTTTAAGTCATATGCCTCCAGGGCCGGCTCCAGCTTTTTTGCCGCCCCAACCGGCGAAGAGAGGAAAAAAAAAAATCCGCGATCAGCGGCACTTCGGCGGCTGGTCCTTCTCTCTGAGAGGGACTGATGGATCCGCCGCCGAAGACCTGGACGCGCCGCCCCCTTCCCTGGGCCGCCCCAAACACCTGCTTGCTGGGCTGGTGCCTGGAGCCGGCCCTGTATGCCACTGACTGCCTTGTTGTAGGGAAATGGTTGTGAAACTCTCCTGGTCCAGTCCAGGTGGTTGCAGCTATATTTCACCTTTGCTAATTAGGAGAGAGTTTGTCTCTGAATTTCCCACTAACTACATTTCCTAAATAAATAGTGGGAATCTGAATTAAATCAGGCATTCCAAGGTGTTCCTCTCATCGATTCTAATAAACAATTTTCAAACAAACCAGACAGCAAACAGTTGGAATCCCAGTAGCCTGAATAACCCAAACTCTTATTTTC